CCCTGCCTACCCCTGCACAGCCCATCCAGGCCGACCCTGCCTACCCCAGCACAGCCGATCCATGCCCACCCCGCCTACCCCTGCACAGCCCATCCAGGCCGACCCTGCCTATCCCTGCACAGCCGATCCAGGCCGACCCTGCCTACCTCTGCACAGCCGATCCGGGCCCGCCCTGCCTACCCCTGCACAGCCCATCCAGGCCGACCCTGCCTACCCCAGCACAGCCGATCCATGCCCACCCCGCCTACCCCTGCACAGCCCATCCAGGCCGACCCTGCCTACCTATGCACAGAGGACTCCTATAGTGATCTGTTGCTGCAGACGTGACCTCAAGGGGCTGGATGAGATCTGACCTCCATGAGGAAAACAAACATACATGTGTCGGGTCCTCGTGTCTAATCCCCATTGTGGGGTCACCTACTGCTGGTCCAGTATGTTGTTCTCTCGCGGCTCCCGGTTCATCAGGCGCAGGAAAGCTTTCTTCTGATTGGCCGCCCGCTGCTCCTCTGCACTGACTGCCTGGGAGAGACGTTTCCGCAGCCGCGTGATGTTCTCCTCCTGCTCACGCAGCTTCTCCTTGTGTTTCTGGCACCGGTCCTGCGGACAGCGAGACACAGAACACATTAATGACCGAACATCTAGGAATGTTACAGCCGAAGTGTCCCCCCTCCCCCCCTTCATCAACAATCAATCAAATATTTTCATTGTCAGGAAATTCCTCTTTTGAGACCCAGTGATGTCATCACTGGTGGGAGGGGCCAGTAAACATCACAGCATTCTGCCTCAGATCTTCTTTCATGAACGCACCCCCGGGCTGCCTTGAGCCATGCATGCTCCTCCCTGCTGACCCCGGGCGCTGCAGACTTTAGCTGTGCTCTCTGCTGATTGGTTGCTTGTGCATGCATGTCTAAAGGGAGCCGGGGATGTGTTCCTTCACATCACGAAGGAGGGACAAAATGGCTGATGACATTGAAAATAAACAACTGAACAGGATTCCCTCTACATAGGACTGACCCTGAACACAGCGCCATCTGCTGACTGCAAGTGGTAAATATTTTTAGGTCACACGAAGCAACCAAAGTGTTCACATTCCAGAACTTCCTCCTAAACCCAGTACTGGTTCCGGGAGAGTCACATTCCAGAACTTCCTCCTAAACCCAGCGCTGGTTCCGGGAGAGTCACATTCCAGAACTTCCTCCTAAACCCAGCGCTGGTTCCGGGAGAGTCACATTCCAGAACTTCCTCCTAAACCCAGCGCTGGTTCCGGGAGAGTCACATTCCAGAACTTCCTCCTAAACCCAGCGCTGGTTCCGGGAGAGTCACATTCCAGAACTTCCTCCTAAACCCAGCGCTGGTTCCGGGAGAGTCACATTCCAGAACTTCCTCCTAAACCCAGCGCTGGTTCCGGGAGAGTCACATTCCAGAACTTCCTCCTAAACCCAGCGCTGGTTCCGGGAGAGTCACATTCCAGAACTTCCTCCTAAACCCAGCGCTGGTTCCGGGAGAGTCACATTCCAGAACTTCCTCCTAAACCCAGCGCTGGTTCCGGGAGAGTCACATTCCAGAACTTCCTCCTAAACCCAGCGCTGGTTCCGGGAGAGTCACATTCCAGAACTTCCTCCTAAACCCAGCGCTGGTTCCGGGAGAGTCACATTCCAGAACTTCCTCCTAAACCCAGCGCTGGTTCCGGGAGAGTCACATTCCAGAACTTCCTCCTAAACCCAGCGCTGGTTCCGGGAGAGTCACATTCCAGAACTTCCTCCTAAACCCAGCGCTGGTTCCGGGAGAGTCACATTCCAGAACTTCCTCCTAAACCCAGCGCTGGTTCCGGGAGAGTCACATTCCAGAACTTCCTCCTAAACCCAGCGCTGGTTCCGGGAGAGTCACATTCCAGAACTTCCTCCTAAACCCAGCGCTGGTTCCGGGAGAGTCACATTCCAGAACTTCCTCCTAAACCCAGCGCTGGTTCCGGGAGAGTCACATTCCAGAACTTCCTCCTAAACCCAGCGCTGGTTCCGGGAGAGTCACATTCCAGAACTTCCTCCTAAACCCAGCGCTGGTTCCGGGAGAGTCACATTCCAGAACTTCCTCCTAAACCCAGC